CTTTAGTAAAACTTTACTCACATGGAACGTCGAAGATATTGTCCAATGATTTCAACATTCCGTTGGGTTACCTCTTTTTGGAATAGGCACAAATACGGATCTCTTCCAATCAGTCAGCCAGGGTTGCTATGGGTCAGAATCGACTCAACGGCACTTAACAACAACAAGAACTTGACTAGAGGAAGATAAAATTATTTTCATAAAGGAAACAAGTGTAAATTACTACAATGTGATGAACTTGACCTATATTTATGGATGTAGTAGCTCAAAATACCAACTCCTTTGAGAGGGAAGGAGTTTCACATCAAGTAACAATCTTATCACCTCTGTATACAGGATAGATAGAGACAGGCAACATAGACACTGGCTACCTAAAAGGGGTGTGGGTTAGGGCTATAAAGGCACAAAGCAACTGGCTTATGAGTTTTAACGATGGATTTTAGTTTCAGAGTGTGGAGAAGAGGGTAGAATCCCCACTGAATAGTTTTCATCTTGTCTATATGGGTCTGGTGAAAGGAGATGGAGATACGATATTTATGATTCTATACTAAATAATTGTTATAATGACTGTGACAGTCACAACTGTAAAAGTACAAATTTTATAACAAAAAGTGTGGAGTAATTAATGTTTCATTCCAGGAACAAATGACCCTAGGTTCATCAAGGGTGAAGAGCATGAGCGGAATGTGGGACCCTATCCAGAGAAGCAGCGACACCAGAGATGGAGGCAGAGATGAGGACACAGAGAGATAGAGCAGCTGAAGACTCTACACTTAGAAAGAAAAGTCTGTGTGCTGGCAGCCAGGTTGCAGAATATGCCCTTTGATTGTTTAAATGATTATATATTCCTGAGTGTTTCTGTGTACCCCCCTAAAAAATAAACCCAGAGGGAATAGAAACAAATCCTGTTGTATGATAATGCATGGAGGTGATTGTAATCATTGCAATGAAACGATGAGTATAAAACTGATATTCTCCCCTGTAAGCTTATCACTCAATTTAAAAATAAACATAAAAAGAAAACAGGGCAGCTTGAGAAGAATTCTTCAATAATGAAAGTCGTGGCTTGAATTTTTTCTTCAGTTCCCTCAGCTTGAGAAATGCTGACAGTGTTCTTCCCTTTCGGTTTTCTAATTCCAGATCTTTGCACATTTTGTTATAATATTTGACTTTTCTTCTTGAGCTGACCTTTGAAATTTTATGTTCAGATTTTGTACCTCCTCATTTCTTCCATTTGCTTTAGCATCTCTACGCTGGAGAGCAAGTTTCAGAGTCTCTTCTGATACCCATTTTGATCTTTTCCTTTTTGTCTTCATAATGACTTTTTGGTTTCTTGCTGTATAATGTTCTTGATGTTATCCCACAACTCTTCTGGTCTTCGGTCTTTAGTGTCTAATGCATCAAATCTGTTCTTCAGATTACCTCTAAATTCATGTGGGATATATTCAAGGTCATGTTTTGGCTCTCGTGGACTTTTTTTCATTTTCTTCAGCTTTAGTTTGAATTTGCAATATGTGTAATTGATGGTCTGTTCCACAATCTGCC